CCTAATATCACGAAAATGTAATTCAAATGAGAATGAATTTATACATGCAGCCTCTTATTTGGAAGGAACCGAATCTTTTTTATTATACTTTCCAGTCACTTGCAAAAGATTACATATTCTACTTTTAAAACGTGTATCGAATTTTAATGAAAGTGTTCTTAGTCGGGAGTTATTATTTTTTAAAGAGAAGAGGCTTCCATTAGACAACTTTACTCTAGATCGTCATTCGAAAAAGATTACGACGAAACACATTTTAATTAGATAAGTTTTACTGTCGGCGACATGAAGTTGATGCGCACTTTTGCCAACTTTCCTATTAGCTCCCGAATAAATAATTATGCTTTTCGGACTCCTTAAAATCTGTAGGAATATCCTGTACAAAGTTTTCATTGGTCTCGAAGTCTAGAATTGGCTAATTTCTGCCATTGTCTATTGACAACGAGATCGATGGATCTTAAAGAAATACGTTTATAAATAAGTAGGAATCTAAATTTACCCAGAGATCATTATCTGTGGGATCAGCAGAAACACATATATTCCATCTCAATTAAAGGAAGAATGGAGGCATGTTTTTTTCAATACATTGACAGTATCAGGTAATTTATTTATCTCACATCGAATTTATGACTACAAGAACTCAGACGTTTCGTTAAATACTGTACAGTAGAAAGTCCATTATTCAAATTAATGTGGAGATAAATCCGTTCTTGCATTACATATAAGCGGCTTTCCGGATAATCGGTCTACGAAAAACAGAAACTTTCAATTACCCCTCGGTAGTCACATTGAGTCCAAATGAACTAAACTTTTACTTTGTAGTAAATTATCTTCGAGCCAACATTGAAAATAGTACTACTGGCGCCATGTAGGTATGTAGTAGTAATTTCAGGTGTCCTAAAATAACTTTTTTCGTAATTTTGTTTGTTTTTTCAAGAATTTTGTTAAACATGATGATATGATACTTCAAATGTTAATATTTTACAGTGAATATATATTCTACCGTGTTTAAACTTTATCTCAGATGTTTGCGACTTAATTTAACAGACAGTTTTTAATAGATTGAAAATTGGCTTGGGTCGAAACGAACCAGCGTGACAACTACATACGTTCGAAAGAATAGATGTGACCACAGAGAGTTAATGAATATTTATCGCGTGAAGAAAAATATATAATAAGTGTAAGATATACAGTAAGACCTCAATTATGCAAACTGCTAAAAACAAACAATCATTATTTATTGTACAATATTTACATGTATGTATGTAGGTGCAATGTTAACAATAATTCATTTGAAACATGTTTTTCAACCGAACGTTCACATAAACAGTGTTCCGATAATCGAGGTCCTACTGTACAGCAAATTAATCATTCTTACAATCAGATGTAGCTAAATTCCTCTGTCTTCCTTGCGTAAATCTTTAAACAGTGACTTGGTATGTTTTCATCCAATTTAATGTAATATCCAACATATTTGTAACTAGGTCCATTACTGTGACAGTAAGTTCTAACCATTCTAGAATATTGTCACTGTTGTTATTTTCAAGCCCGTGTATACTGCAGGAGTTAGCTTCCAATTAACTACGATTGCTTCCAATTTGATGAAAACTGCCATTTAAAGTGTGATAGTAACGCGAGGTACTAAACTCGAGTATTTGATTCGTAACTGTAGCAAGTTTCGAAACGTAAACAGTATTAGTACAGAAATTCCGATGCATTGTAAACGTGACACGTTCTGGGTTCCGATAATCGGGTCTCTGGGTAACGTATTCGATATTCGGATAATCGGAATTTCCAATAACCGACTTTCTTTTATATCTAGGCGTGCAGTAAATTTCGGAAAAGCTTATCTCCTGAAAAACGTTCCATCCTCGATTTTTCGAAAATTTTTCACGTTATTTATATAATAGTTAGAAAAATAGTGTCAAATTTACTCAATATTCTAGATTCTAGACATTTGTTTTTTTTTTTTAAGATTTGCGTGAACATTATTGATTGCTGTATTTTTTGGACCTACAGTAAATCAACTATGGTTGAATATTTCTTGAGTTATATTTTCTTCTTTTGTTCACGGACTGCACATAAGTCCTTATAATTATAATATTCATGGACTTGTCGTGAAAATAAAACTTGTTGTATTCAGGTTAATTGTGCAATAAAGTTTTCTCAAAGTTTCAAACAGATTGGTATAACAATTTCTTCTCAAGAAATTCCCAAAAATTCACTCATCTTTAGACTCTTTACACCAGGCTCCTCCATTAAGAAAACCACCTCTTACTTTCAGCCGAAAACTCCTCAGTGTCTCCCAAGCAATTAAAACTTCTACTATACTAAACAAACCTACGCGTCTAACCACCTTTATAAAACGTTACAACTGGCATTTAACACAAAAAAATGTAATATCGAATTGACTCAATTTCCTAGAACCTTGACGTTATTTGAGAACTTATAAGAGAATTTCTGATCACTGTAAAAGGAGGTTTTCTGGACCTATGGTAAATCAACGAACGTGCAGGTTTTCGGTAATTTCTTGGTATTTACTTTATCAGCTGACACTTGTACGGAAGAATACGAGAAGGGGAGGCTGAATGGAGGGGTGTAGATTGGGTGTTAGGAGGGAAACAGCAAGGGCGCAAGTCGTTGCGCACGCATCTTTGAATGAACGCGATTTCGAAGCTTCAGTTCCTCCGTCGTGGTTCTCCTGAACAGCGGATGCAACGACACTTTATCGGACGATCTTTAAACCAAGCGTTTTCGGTTGTTGCGCTCTCACGAATCGAAACACAGTGTGCGCGATTGTTTCGAAAATTATTCGAACGCATCGCGTGAATTGGAACCAATTCGAATAGTTTACGCATGAATATAGACTGATGGTCCATTTACACTTTAGTATGTGGGACCGTTTGGTACGCGCTGTTTTCGTGACACGATGAATGAGACGTTTCTTACGTAAATAATGATTTCATTGAATATCACGATGATCGTATCAAAATCCAATCGTTTTGTTGAATTTAATTTGAACGACCACCATAATATTCGAACTTACGTTTGAAAGATCGGTATCGAGGTTTAATTTCAAAGATATCTGATTAGTTTGTCGAAACTCATTTAAACTCACATTATCCTGAACAATTTCTGAGATTCATTCAACAGACGGACGCTTCCCGTAGCTCTTTCCGTGATCAATTTCGCGGACAGATTCTTTTAAAGTTTGAAACTCCTCTCGAACGTGTCTTTTTAGTTCGTAACTCCTTTCATCGTGGTTGGTCATTCCTTATTTTCTGTAACTCGAAAATCCTTTAATTTTAATTTACAGTCGCAACAGATATGCATAACAATTCGGTCAAATTCAAATTCAATCACAGAATTGAAATTTCGAATTCTAACGGTTGCTCTCGAATTTCATTGCCATTTTGTTGAATTTAAATTCCTTATCTGACAATTAAATACAAGCTTGGCGTTAAACGATAGTGTATTCTGTCCAAATATAATTACAAGTTTTTTAATAACAAGCTTGTGACGCTGAAACCGAATTTGTTCTTCAGTATGCAATAAGTCACCGATCTGATAATACAACCTCAAATGTGGCGATTCGTGGCTATACTTAAAGTATACAATACCATTTTTCAATGTAGCGTTTTATTTTCATTAAATTCAATATTAGTACTTCTTCGAGCACAGATGCTTTTGAAGACAATTGGTACTGTGTTTACATATTACTGTCTCTCATTACAACGGCGATGTTGCGGTATCTTACGTTAGCCAATGAATTTTCAACATCGATTTTCATTAAGCTGAAATCTCAAAAATGGACTTAGAGTTCATAAATTCAAATGTGCTACTGAGTGGACTCTGTTGATACATTAATTATTTATCAAAGATGATTTTATGTAGTTTTAACGCATTAGGAAAATAAGGTCTTGAGTTTATTATTAGAAGTAACAATCAATTTTTCGATTTCATCACTGTATCCTTACCAAGAGTTTCCGATAACTTGTTTGGTGGCCCTCACAAAGTTACGAATTGTTAAGTTTATTTCTCTGGGTAATCTTACTTTGTCATCGAATGAAAAAATTCTGCCATTTTATTCGCCACGTAGAGAATGCTTCTCGGAGATATGCAGAGGGTGTATCACAACATGTGGGACCCACTTCAACCGAGGATGTGGGACACAAAAGAATAAAAAAAGTTCAAGCAAATATGTACCCCAGCTGACCTTATTACCAATGTTATGGTCATTTTTGTGATCTTATAGCGTGCAGATGTTTAGTTTCACATGACGTGCTCGATGTAGTTATCTTCGACTCGAATGCAGAACCGCAATCACGAATCCTAACACAGTCTGTCGGTTTGTCAAAACATTCCTTCAAATAAAACTTGTACTATTTCACAAAAACAGTTTAATACATTCTCCATAAAGTTTGCTGGAGTACATATGATTCGTTCACAAGCCGAAGTGACTAACTCTGCTTTTCGAATTTCTTTAAATTTTAGTGCCAAAACACTCAATAAACGTATATAGTGCTTAAGTGTTTATATTTTTCTGGAGTTAATCATTTTGCCAAATAAACGGCAAAAAGTGTCGCTAAGCCTCGAAAACAGTGTCAAATAGTGCAGACATCTATACAAAAAATTTTCATTATTTTGTAGAATCAACATGTCATGTTACACCCTTGGAACAGAAATCACTGCTTATTTTCATCTTCCTAGTCTACACATCCTTTGAGAGTTTACACGTCCTTTCGTTCTACATTTTCAACTCATATTTTTCCGACGAAGAACCGCCGCCTGTCCACATGCAACCATCAGTTCTGTTTCATTTATTGTCCGCAATATCCGCGATAAAACGACAGCAATCGAGTGAGTTCTGATACATGAAGAAAGTTGGACGGAACTGGGAAGACCGATTTATGTCCGTAATGTGTTCGATCGATTGTTATCGTGCCGAGAAGTGATCGACTTTATTTTTTTTCTGAAAGCAGCTGGAAGTGATCCGCGGAAATATGAACAGTCACACCTTGTACGGTTTGTACAATTGCAGTGCCACGGTTCTCGAGCGCAATATCACGTTTTTGTTGAAGTTGAATAGTAGCGAGCTGTTCAAGGTGTTGGAGGATTCTCTCGAGAGATCGCACGAACGCGACGTGTTGCTTAACGCGTTTTTCGACTGTTTCTCTGTCTATCAGGAGCGTCCTTTCGATCTACCGTGGTGGCAGAAACTTGTTTGGTCGGTTGTATACGCCGCGATGCTGCTGGTGGCGACGGGAGGCAATATTATCGTCATGTGGATCGTTCTCGGTAAAAAGAACTGATGAGTTGTTTTATCTTAATTCAATGCCTTGCTAGTTCTTTTCCATTGTCTAACAGGGAACGTCACCCACCCGATACACACCAAATTTGATGAAATTTTGCAGACAGGCAAATAGGCTCAAAAACAATTTTCGTACAAAGTTGAGGGTTGAATAATCTATTAAGTCAGATAACTCGAAAACAAGTAGAGCTAGAAACAAAATGTTAAAAACTAAAATTACTGGGGTTCTCTGTGAGGAATAACATGGCGTAAATGCATTTTTTACCAATGATTTTCTATGATATAATTATTTTTGTTGCTAATCTGCCAATATAAACAGCGAAATACAACTTACAGACGTGCATTTATTGTAATCGAAAAAAATTATGTATGCGTTTCCTGCAATTATCCGTTAAATTTGAGAAATGAAGGTGCCAATATTGCGGGGGTTTTATTAATTAATTTTCCCGCGGTTAGCTTGATATCTTGAACTTGGAGTCTGAATGGTCTTCAATTGTGGATTTCGAATATACTGGCAATAAGAAAAAATGACTAAGAAAAGTTTATAAGAGTATATGTTCGTTATAAGTACAAAGTATAAATATATGTATTTTATAAGTATAAAGTCAGGACCGTCATTACAGAACTTTCGTTACAGAAGGCACAAATATGTGGCTACTGATTTACAATAGTTGGGATTTTAAGTAGTTTTTTTCTTTATGATGGTATCATTTATGATTCGCAAAAATGTTGTTTGTACTATGCTATTCCTCATAGAGAACCAAGCAACTTTTGTACTCGACCCATCCCTAAATTTTCAAAAGAGGTTTTCATTCCTAAAAGTCGGATCACATTTATACACGATATCTGGAATTTTGCTGAAATTTAAATATGTCGTAATCCATGTGGAACTAATTGTAAAGGGGGTTTAAGTCATCATTTCGCTGATTTCAAAATTGATTAAAAAATACAAACCCTCAAAGTTGGCATTTTTCATGAATTTTTACGAAAACTACCTTACCAAAAGAATTTAAATCTTTACAATCATTTATATACGAATTCATTTTTTTCTTAATTTAATCGTAAAGGATCGTTATTATTAAATAATTTTGTGTTTTGCATATTTGCACCCCCCCCGCGGTTAAAGTCTGAAAAAATTTGAAAAAAAAAAATATATATGTTCGTATTCTGTGATCTTTTTCCTTTTTAAAATGACAAATTCGTGGTATCCGGCGATCCGGGTAAGCGCGTCGCGTCGCCTGGTCTTCTACGTTTTTGCGACAGTGTCGGAAAACCCGATGTCCATTGTACTATGGACGATATTAAAAGTCGTACGTATTGTAGTCGACAAAATGAGAGTATTGGTGTTCCCAAAATAAGCATTTTAATGATTTTCCTGAGTTCTAATTCTATTTTCAAACGCTCATAGTCCCCTATACAAGTGGCATTATTTATATTTTTGTAGTAGTTTTAAGTGCCCATTCTTTGTCAATGACACTTTGTTGAAATAATTTTTCTTGTTTAATTATAGACATATACTTTAAACATTTTTTCAGACTTAAATCGGGGGTCAAATTTGCAAAACAGAAATATTTTTAATATTTCACGTGTAAAACGAAAAATTAGTTACAAAGAACAATCATTTACGATTAAAATGATAACAAAATGAAGTTCGTACGTTTAGCAGTTACAGAGATAAAAATTGTTTTGTGCAGGTAGCTTTCGTAAAAATCCATGAAAGTCTTGTATTTGTTAATCAATTTCGAAACCAGCGACATAATCGCCCCATATTTTCACATGGACTATAACATATTTAAATTTGAGCAAAATCGCAGATATCGTGTACAAAAGTAATCCGCTTGGCGTGCAAGACCCTAAACATGAATCTCCCCCGACAAACAAGTACGTGTCGAATATTTTTTGTTATTTTACTTCTGTGCGAATTTTCAGTATAATAAAATCGACGTGTATCAGTTAGGTGATGTTTCTCGTTCCAACCTCCAAAACTTTAAAGACTTTATAGCGAGTAGTTGCACACAGCCATATTTTTAAATTAATTTTATGGATCTCTAGATTACATCGTAAAAATTTCTATTATTTTACCATGTCTTCGAATATATTAAACATAGTTTTGTTAGATAAGAAAATAAAAACAGAACTACCATTAAACTTCGTTGAAATTTGTATTTCAATATAATTTACAAGTTCAGGGATGCTATTAATGCAGAAAATCCGCTCTGTAATTGTAATACATCGAGGGATAGGGTTGCTTGGATAGTAGTTCGCGATTTTTTGGTAGCAACAATCACTTCGGTTGACAAAACGACTGTTTTCATCCAATCTCGTATCTAGTCAAGGTGACTAAATACACGCACTATACATATAAGATATCGACAAAATATGACATTTATTTCGCAAATATTATATTGTAGATTTGTACATGCAAGTTTGGGAAATTATATTTTATTCCCTTCAATTGGTATTAAACATTGTAACTCTCAAGTAAAAGTCGGACATATATAGAATATTACATAAGTAGTAACACAGAATTCGATGAAATTCAATGGATCAATAGTTCCCCCAATAGTAACAAAGACCAAAATTAAAATGTGTTTCATGATAATAATGACAGAAAATGTAATTTACACACGCAACGTACTGAAAAACAGTAATATATTGCAATATCGTTTAGTAAATAATAGTTGTTTGTCGTTGTTACACAAATCCTCGCTGTTTCTACACTTCTTTTATGTTTCCCTCGGTCTAAATTGGTTTCGAATTACTGGCAACTCTTTAATTTACAAAATGGACGCGCGACACGTAAACAATAGCAAGCAGTTGTAAGATGTTTGCTATTCAGGTGTAGTTAGGTGTATGGGACATATTGTTATAGTTAGTACAATGTAATGTATTACAACCAACTTTAGTAATTACTACAGAAATCAGTTCTTAATTAAACTCATTGTTAGTATAGAACTTAATTCCCTCTAGGATGATAAAATTCAACATCACAGTGCAATACATGGAATTTGAATCCAAGTTCCGACGATAGAATTTCCATTTAAAGCTATAATTCAGCTAGACAAATTTAAATTTCAACGGTCAAATTCCAAGTCGAAATCTAATTTTACAATTTTTTGTCACGTTCTACTGTATTACTTTCTCTTATGCTCAAACTATTCAAGTTAAACTCAAAGTCATGCAAGAACTATGAAAAAGCACCAGTAACGAGAACGTTCCGATTTCAAAGGAATGTCATGCGAGCGGTACCTTTCCTTTTCCGTCTAACGAAATCCTGCTGTAAATGCATCATATTTCCATGAAACATGCAGAAGCACTGCTCATTTTCACACGAATTTGTTATGTTACAAGTCTTGTGTTGTTATGATTTTAACGTTTTTAGCACAAAATCAGATACTAACATGAGACTATCATTACAACAAATTGTTTTTCAACGCGATAAATGCAAATACGCTTTCTGTGTATGAATGTCAATGAGGTTTATAAAGAATAGTATAGATTCTTTTTAAAGCACGTTCTTTCACCTACAGGGCGTGCCGTGAAATATTTTAATGTGTTTGAATATAAAGGTATATTTAAAATTGTTTTAAACTAAACTATGACGTTTCTCTCCGGAACGATCAGAACGAATACTTTTTTATTAATTCTCCCTCATGCACGACACAATCGATTGTGAAATATTTTCGTATAAATAGAAATTGAATTTCAAACGGTCAATTTTAAATTTAAATTTTAATGGTCGAATCCAACTTCAGAATGCAACAGTAAAAGTAAAATGCTAACGGCCGAATTCAACTTTGATATTCTGCTGTTAAATCTAACTTCGACCATTTCCTGTTAAATAATTGTTACGAATCAGTTCAAACATTCAAATGGTAACGGCCGAATCGACTTTAAAATTCAACAGTTAAATCTAACTTCCACCATTTCTTGTGTAATAATTTTTACGAACGCGTTCCAACGGTGGAATTAAAATTTATGTTACAAGATTGTTACATAATGAATATTAAAGCGATTAATACCCTTATATATTGTTGCGGACACTGTGAGATATCAATTGTCAACATGCTGTCAAAGAAGAAAGACATCATCGCCCGACATATTCACATTTATAAGAGTTCCATTTAATTTATATTAGAATTTACTTATAGAAATATATATAGAATTTTATTTTTGTACATTCATATAGTTATATATTCTTTTTAATAAACATGAACCTCAAAGCAACACCCGGACGCAACAATATTGATTCGTGATAATGAAGTAATTGAAGTTTCTCAACCGAACAATTATAATTAACTGAATGAAGATGATATTAAAACGTCATATGTCGTGAATGATTATCCGTAAGCTGAAACTGAAAAGGGATCGAAAATGAATCAGTTTTATTTATAGTTACTGAAAATGCGAATAGCATCGAGGAAACGATTCAGAAGCATCATATTGCATTTGATCTATTCAATAGTTCAACGCCGATCGTTGAAATATCGGATGTGTCCTAGTTAGCATGAATAAAAGCAACATAATCGTATAACTTAACACGCGAATCATACATGCGGTTCATTTAATTCGTCTCATTAAACCATGAACGAACGGGCCTTAGTTTGACTACAATCTCTCATTATTAATTGACCACAATTTTTCACGAAAGAATAATAAAAACACAGATAATTATGTATATTATTATTTTATTTGAGACTTCGTTTTCGAGACAATCGACTTCGACAATTAATCCGAAACGCGTGTATTCATGATAGTAAGTAGAAACGGAATGCAGTGAACAGACGCTTAGCCAAGTCCTGTGTCCTATCCTATGTATGTAATTTCTCGCGTATCCAGCAGATTTTCAAAGTGGATTTTCTCGAGAACGAAGTCTCAAATGAAAAAATATCATTGTATATTTTTTACTTATATTGTCACGTAGAATCACACCCTGCCCGGTTGTATAGGGGTCCAATATGGTCGTCTGTAAAATATTAACTTTCAGAGATTTTAATTATTCTTTGACAGGAATGTGTAGACAAATGTTTTCGAAGTCATAAATTCTCAGATGTATGCAAATATAATACATGATACATATATGTAAACAATATACATTTATGCAAATAACAAATAATAGATTAATTTTTAAAAAGTTTAATTTACGAAAATTTAAAGATTAATTTCGCAAAAACTAGCGTGAAAAATTTTTTTAAAAAAATACATATTACATTTTTAGATATATGGAACATACAAAATTTCAGAGCTCCAGCACCTCGCGTTTTAGAATAGCCGAATTTAATCTCAGAAAAGGATTGCTCCCACACTAAGAATTGAAAATAAAGAAAGTAACGTAATTTTCATTCAAGTTGCATGAGATCCCTAAGAGTATACAAAGTACCTGTTGATGTGTGCATACAAATTGCAAAATAAATCAGAAACATAGAAAAAACTCAGAAAAAATAGATAGTAGATACACGTACCGCTGCCCCTGAAAGGGTTAATCTGCTGATGAAACTTTCATGAAGAATTTCTATTTTGCATTACCGGGTGATACCAAGATCGATGCACGTTTGTTTGAAATGTCAGATGTTCAGCGAGCTGTGACTCTATGACCCTTACTTTGGATGTGTCTCACTTAAAGCCGAGTGAGAGTTTGAATAGCAAAATTTGAATTTCACACATTGTTGTAAGTTCAGTTCTCCAAAGACTCGCCGCGGTTACGGGGTTAAAATACGACCTCGCATTATTGTGGAAATTCGGCGTTGCACGGTTCAGATACTTCGAAAGTTCTTCTTTCATATAGTTCACGCGCGAAATCAGCCACTCAAACGAATTGCGCGTTATCTCAAAAATTGGATGGAACATTTACAGACACGCTGTATTAAATTAGCTTCTTTAGAGTAGGTATCAACTGACAAGGGAAGATCCCCAACCAGGATATTCAGAAAATTATGAAACTTTGGGGAGATATAGAGCACATACATATAGGTATACATATATTACGCTATTTGTTGCTGCCCAAAATTTACTTCAAGGGGTTAAAATTAACTTTTGAAAATTCGGCTATTTTTCGCTGTTATTTTGTAACTCGCAATCTGTAAGAAATAGAAGGAAAGTTTTAAGACAAAAGTTGCTTTTTTTAATTAGATTAATTAAATGGTTAAAGTTGTATCAATTGTTTAAACAATTAGAAAAAAGCTATAAACAAATATATTAATAATTTTTCATAAAATTCGTTTTTTACGTGAAATCTTAACTCCTTCTCCTTATTACACATGTACATAAGCTGCATGACGAGTAATGTTTTTCTACCATTTATAAATCAAGTAAGATAATTTTTACATTTTTTCTCTAATTACATAGTAAGTAGGTGCACCAGATGGAAATAAACGAAAACAAGGGAACTGTCACATAATAATACTGTGGATATTTATGCAAATTTCTGCTTAATTTAGAAAAAACAGAATCAAGGAGAAATTTGATTATTCTGTTATGCGTTCCATTAGATGGCACATAAAATACCATTTATAACCATTTTAAACAGTTCAGTGTACTGCGTTTTGAATAATCCTAAATGCTATAAATGCATAAAGCCAACAACCTGGCTATAATTAATTTTATTAGAACTTTTTATTTGAACATAATTATCAAACTTTTCTCTTATTTTCTCACCGAACAGGTGAGCCAATGCAGGCGTTTAATAAGTGATTTACATATAGTTAGGTAACTTTGATAACATTTATGTAATATAAATGTATCATATATTATGCATTATTCTTCATGGTGAAGAAACATTAAAGAAAATTATTTAAAGCATAGAAATTAGTTATGCTTCGGAATCGTATCAAGCAACAAGGCAGATGAGCGGAATATTGTTGTGAAAAACCGAAATCTCCTGGATTTTCAAATTTATTTCGTTTCTGATTAGTAGGTATATCCACTTTTATATCACGCATAAGCAAAGACATCTTAGTACTTTGGCGACGAAAGTTGATTATGAATACGAGACTGTGATTTAATGTCATTATTTCATGCATGTAGATCAACATCGTAACTAACCAGTACCACAAGATGAGAAACTTTTCATACAAAGTGTTCTACATATCCCCAAAGTTTCATAATTTTCTGAATTTTCAGGTTGGCGATTTTCCATTGTGAATTTGCGGGTATGAACCAGTTCCATGTGGAATATGGTTTGGAAATAATTTTAACAGGGCAACCACGATCTGTTGCTGTCTATTGAAACACTGATCCGGGTGCGCGTTGCGTGGTACATACTAATAGTGTCCTTAGAATAGCCATATCGATATTATGGATTATTTATGTCCAAGTATAGGCTCTTTAGTTAAATACTTAACAATGATTTCTGACCCTTCGTCAAAGTCTGTTTCAATTCGAATCCAAACGTTCACGTACAAATTCCAATTTAATTATCAATGGTCCAAAGTCAATTCAGTAATCACGTTTCATTTCAAAGTCATCAACAACACTTTTCATACGAGTTGAGGCAGTCACATAAAACCTCGAATTTAATTTTCATTAATCAAAATTAAATTTTAGTAATTACGTTCAAATTAAAGATTAATTACATTTTAACAGTTATAACTAAATACAACTTGTAACGGTTGTACAGAAACTATAGCTTACAAAAGTGTAATTTCAGTTTCCAATATAAAAATAAATCACACAATTGATTTTTTAAATGAATTTTCACCGGATCTGACGCATAAATTGATTTACGTACGTTAGAACAAATATTAGTTTTTCACCCTGTACCCTGTTTTTCAATATTTGCGTAACCAGGATCTAAAGATCTTGGAATGTATGAGGAATGGCGAGTGCATGGCGTGCGTAACTTTAAATAAATATTGATTTAAACTGTTTCGAGAGTGAGCATTTATACAGGGTGGGGCATACTTGCTTACTTATACTACTTCCAGCGACAAGTGGATAATTTCTCACTCTGATGTATGTTACTACCAGAATTTTTTTCTTTTTATTAAGTACATCGAAATCAATAATAGCATCCAGTCCCTACAGGAAGATCTCAGCAGCTTTTATGGCAGAAAATAGAAATTGAGAAAGTCATTATCTGCTCATAATTCCTAGATAAAGCTTTTAGCAATTGCTTTGGAAAGGATTTGGAGCTTGTCAAGTAAATTTTAACCCTGAGACAAGGCACATGGCTCTTTCTGATCCTCAGATTATCTTATAAAGACATTATCTTTAGTAACTTTTCATATTTGCTTTAATACTCACATAAATTGTGGAAAAGTAATTTACAAATGTTATAAAAGCTGATTCAGGTGCAAGAGGAAATACATACATGATATATTGTAACAATAGGTATAGGGTATAGATAAATATTATTATAGAATATGTTTTGTTGTGCTGAATTCAAATGTGTTTTCAGTTTCTTTCAAATATGATTTTTCAGTGAAATAAGTTTCAAAATTACTACCATTTCCATTATAATGAAAGCTCAGCAATAGTTGGTCCACATATTCAGACTCTACTTGCTCTAGAAGCTTTTTCCTATCTCAGAGCTATCTTCAAAAAATTGTTTATCATGTTCATTGTTCTTTAGTTCACGGCTTTCGGGGAAGAAATCCATCTATCTGATGTTTTTATTCAGAATGCTTTACACGCAGACAGTAAAGAACTCAAAATATTTTAGAATGAAACTGTCAAATGCAATTGTTCGATTGGAAATTTGGGGAAATTGTATATCAAAGAATCTGTGGTTTGACAAATAAAATTTCGATTGGACATTTGAATTGAGTGTGCTAAATTACGTGTTTACCTAACGTGACTATCTCAATCACTCGTACACTATTGGCTGTACCAAAAATGTTTTAAACAAAATTTGCAGTATCTCATCCCGAATTTCGACAAAGTATCAAATAAGTATTATATCATATACGGTCTGAAGTGAACAGATCCTGAGATATCAGTAAATATTTTGAATATGTTGGTAAGATTCTCCCGATTAAAACGAATCCAAATGACATAATTTGAACCATATGTCTTTATTAATATTAATAATAAAATTTATAGTATCAATAAAAAAACTGAATGTGACCGTTACATTTTGATAAACATGTAACATAGTAAAAACATATACAATAGTTCCATTATACGTCCCTCTTAATACCATACAACTTTTGTTTAAAGTATTTGTTTATACAGCCAATACTTTACGAGTAATTGAGTTGGTCGTGTTACGTGTACCACTTTGTGTAGCAGTGTCATACTAGCAGAGTTCTTCTTTGACTTATCTTTGCATTATCAAGTTTTGCTGACATTGTCCATGTTCCAGTAAACTATGAATCAATGATTAATGTTTCAGCACATAGACGAATGCGCACGGTTACCAATTACTTTCTGGTCAATCTCTGTGTGGCCGATCTGATGATGTCACTGCTGAACTGCGCCTTCAACTTCATCTTCTTGCTGGACTCCAATTGGCCATTCGGCGTTGTGTATTGCACAATTAACAATTTCGTCGCCCACGTGACAGTCGCCTCGAGCGTTTTCACCCTGGTCGTTATCTCTTTTGTCAGGTATGTTTTTTTAATTTGACAAGAATGTGAAAAAAAAAAGTAACGGGAAATTGATTCTTTTTTGCTACCTCTGAAACGAACATGAAAAGCCGATTGACAACCAGTCATTAAAATTACGTCTATGAGAGAGTTTTCGAACAATGCTGGGGTAAATTGATGTGGTAGCCGCGGTAAAAGCCATTTGTTGTTAACCAACTTAGTTTAATGTTTTATTTCTTGAACTTCTGTTAAGTTCAGAACGGAACTCTGTAATTCGTCTATGATACCGTATTATATACCATATATGAACTCTTACCGATGTAAATACAGAAACAAAGCAATTAATCAAGGACTGTGTAATATATGTATTTTCATTTGTCAATTGTGTATGTAAATGTTTGACTAAAATCGAAGGAACATATATTGTTACTCTCCAAACGCATAAAAAATATGGGAAACTGACATTCATTAATTATGTGTAAACAGGAGTAACACATATGATGTTCATAAAGAGTGTTTTGTTTTTTATTTTTGTCGGTAAGTATATTACTTTGCAACAAACAGATCAATATATTCTTAACTAAATTTACATTTAACATAGATTATCAATTTGTCGTTATATCGAATGTAGATTTCAACAGTTACTTTTTAATTAATTTTTAAACACTAATTTATGTAACTTTCGACACAATTACGAGCTGTTAAATTCAAACTCGAAGTTAAATTCCAACTGTTAACTTTTTTAACTTTAAACACTCCCATAACAAGAAGAAAGCTTGATGAGTTACTAAAAAGTTAGTAACAGAGGTATCATAAAGGGGAAATGCATCAAAAAAATAAAAATGTATCATTAGAACGAAAAGTTGAAACATCAAAATAAATAGATTGTTAAGATGAGTTTTTCAATTCCAACGATGAGAATAAATTTAAAATTTGATCTGCATTAGGGAGATGTCGGTTGTAGAATCTGTATTGAGAAAAGAACACTACTTTACAGGCAAAATCAAAGAATAACAAGAAAAGTAATAGTCATTATTAAATACGAATAACTAAAAATTAAATTGATATATTAAATTAAACGAATAATTAAGATTCTTTTCTTGAAATTATTATGCAAAAATTTGTAATATTTTACCCAATTAATTCCGATAGTCACATTATCGAACTGCAAATAGAATAGTCGCGTTAAAAATTACGAACGTTTATTACGCATGATTTATCGAAATGAATTCCAGGAGCAATATGCATCACGAGCACTGCAGGTTTCGTGTCACTGGCAAGATTCTGATTACCTTGTCGTTTGCATTCTATGCTCTAGTTTTGTGTTCCTATAAGACGTTTCTAATATAATCAAGCAGTGTAAAACAATATAGAATCTCGTAAAGAGAAATTTTTCGAAAGATAATAAAGAAATAATGTAAGTTAGAATACTGAAGGTAAGATGAATGAAACCGTTGATATTATATATATGTATATTACTGTCTGAAACCATAAATTGAACACAAGATGCACTACAAAAAAAAACAATTTGAAGTATTGCTCCGAATAATATAGATTAAAACAAACAGTTTTGATTTCTTTATTTGTTTCCATACAATTGAACTATTAAACAGGAGCTGTATAATTTCTACTCCAGGTTGGTTGTGTATATTATATTTGTATCCCGTAATTTAAACAGATTTACGTGAACCGTTTTGAACAATGTATAATGAAAGCATTGGCTTAAATATACTTCGAGGAAATGAATAACTTTTGCGTTCGTGCATTTCACGATGAATAAGGACAAATGAACTTACATTCTTTCAGCTAGTACTGAATTTGTCGCGCGTAATAGTAAACAGAATTTTTAACGGCAGAATGAATATTTCACTCGTTTTATGAAAGAAACGGGCAATTTACACAGTGAAATTCAAATTTTAAATGTGTATTCCCGCAGTCCATCCACAACGGTCAAATTCAAATGTAAAACCAAGTTCCAGCGGTTATATTTAAGATTCTACAGTCGAAATCCATTCCACTTATTAAAAGTTGAAACCGTTTAATTTCACACAGAGTAAGGGACACAATAAATAAGGGCTATGTGGACCAAAAAATGCACACAAGATTTTTCAATTTCCAGTGTGACAGTACAAATCGTTTCCTTGTAAGATTGAAAACGAAGTTAGTTGCAATTTCCGCGCAATTTCTGGAAGATTCTAAAAAATAACGAGCGTATTGTTAGCGAAAGGTTATTCCATTGTCAAAACACTCCACCTCATGAATCATAAGAACCTGCGAACCTTCATTATTTACACAGGCTATCAAAGTGCACTCGATAGCATCAGTAGTAACCATAATACTACGTATATTGAATTAGTTGACTTTAATAAATTGAAATACTCTGAGCATACTTAATGAAAACATCATTATGATCTGGATACCGATTCAAAAACAATTTTTTTTAAACTTATGCTTGAAATGTCAGTTGTCAAAGATATAACGATTTTATAGGTTAGAATGAAGTTGTCTTCTGAATGATACGATTAACGATATGTAACTGAAAGAAATGAAATTACTTTCCGAACAACCCAATATGATTTAGCTGTGCCTTACGGATAAAATAATGAGGAGAGAAGCTACGGGGCGCCAACTCTTAAGAAATTTTCCCGTGAGTAGAACAAGAACATCTATCTCTACTTTTGAAGCAAGGTTAAATGGAAACCTTCATATAATGAGAAAGGGTGAAAAAAAGGATTGTGTTGCATGTTCTGAAAGAAAGGAAAAGTGTGGGAGATGTCAAACGAGTGAATACATCAATACTTGTCTATGCTTTGAGAGGTATTACACCATGGCAAATTACAAAATGTAAAAGTTAGGTCTTCTTTTCATTGGAATGAGGGATACTTAAACGCTAAAGAAAAATAAATAAATTCATAAGCACTTGTAGTGTTTACCTTTGAAGACGAAACCTTTCGCTTCCAGAGGTTTCGCTGTAGAAAAGTGCCGGAGTTGCTGGACGACAATCAGATTTGGACAAAATGTAATCTAATTACAAAATCTAAATTCCAATTACAATATAATTGCAATGTAATTGCGGGACAATTACAATTACAATTAAATTGTACTTTTACAATTATCTTGTAAGTTTTATTGTAAATTTAGTATAGTTAATTACAATGTTATTGTAATTGTGATTTGAATTTTGTAATTACATTATATTTTGCCCAACTCTGACGACAGTACTGAATAAATGCTCGGAGTGCTAAGGGTTGGAATTGTTAAAACGAATGACACTGTTCTCTGCATAAGATTACCGTTCACAGGAAACTCTTGCTTGAGTAAAACCCCAATAAGTTTGTTTTTTTCTGGTCGCCAGTTTCTATAGTCATTTATCAAGAAGCTTTTTATAACATTCAAGGAAAGTTATTTGATCAGTTCCTTTATTAGTTTCGAGTCTAAGTGTTATCATATAATTCTATTATCGTTAAAAATGAAATATTAATAAACTGTTCCCAGATAAATTTAACTTTTCTTTTCGAAACTAGGATGTTCCTACTACGAGGCCCTATGTTGTTCCTAATATTGTCTTATAATCCTATATACTTGTTATGCCATTATGAAGATTCAGAAGAGGAGCAAACTAGCAAGAAAGATAATTCCTAATGGGAATTGCATGACGACGCGAAATGCTTACTTTGTTCGTGTCTCTACTCTAAGGACCACAATCGTGAACAGTGGGTTCAACATGCCAAATGCTACGGATGGGCTCCTGAATATTGTCAAGCTATTGATGTTGCTTTTATAATTTTTAACTATTTTTTTTTTAATTTTAAATGATAATTTTCAATTTTAGGCTTAAGCAGAGCCTCTTATTAGGAGTTTTTAAAACCATTAAGTTTGTACTCCTTTATATTTTCCTATTTTTATAATAAATAATAGTACCTATGAAACCAATGTTTTTTTTATGTATGTAAAATAAATGACGAATATAGTAGCACAAAGACTTTTAATCTTCTTCTTTTCTATTACTCGATATTTAATCGAACATAAATGGGGTCGCATATGCGGTGCCATTACTCTAATATATGTAGAACTAACACATTTTTCATTTTTTCATAGTCTATCACATACTGCATTTATAAAATGATATGGGATGCTTGAATTTCACCCGCGAAACCCATATTTTTTTGCGAGTAACAAAATATTACCTTGAAGTAATATCTCCGTTTCATCTGGTCCGAGAGGCCTTTTTGCATTCACACCTCCATCATGCACCATTATTGTAGGTGTTTGATTTTTTGAAAAATTGCTTTGACATAATATTCTATACACTTGAAATGTAAAGAAAATTAAGGAAAAAAATTTCTTTTAAACCGTCAGGCTGGTGTACCCCCATAATTTGATTAAAAAAGAGAGTAACAAAGATCACCTTTTGTTGCCATGCTATTTTTTATTATGTTGTCACAAGGGTGACCAGAAGTGAAAGTCAGGTCCGGCAGCACACGTGTTAACGTTTTAAGGCACAATGGCGCGTTCTACAGTGATATAGGAGACACCAGTGTCGTACCCAAGGGACGGTGGAAACCCGCCACCTGCCCTTTTCATAGAATGGTATATAAACTTTCGCAAATTTAGATAGATCTGCTGGAAACAAATAATGTTTATTTATAGTATTTTCTCACGTATTGCATAGCCGTAGAAATATGAGTTCGTTGGAATTTTTCGTTGAAAGATCTACAAAGCGGAAATGGAACTCATCAGACGCTATTACGTTTGGAGATATAAATTACTTTACTGACATTTTCAAAATGCTGTCGATTTACATGCGTTGCCGACACCTGTCAACATTGTTAAATTTATCGATTTACAAGCGATGAAAACTCTTCTCCTCGCACTTTAACAATGAATGGAAAATTTGTGCAAAAAATGGCACAACTAGGAATAAACCGATACCGGCAAGGTGTCGATATTTTTACTCACACCTTGTATTGACAAAAAGTATCGATATTTACTTAGCATCGTGTGAAAAGTATCGATACCTA